CCTCGATACAGTTTTCAGACAGTTTTAGTTGCCACCACCATAACCAATTCAGCGATGTCTCGGATGTATTTCACGACTCTACTCTAAAACGGTAGAGACTCCCAATATCTCTGTAACATTGGCATGTAGATGTTAAATTCCCATATATTTATTATAAGTTTTTGTTCACAGTTTACAAGTACTGTTTAAAAATCTAGTTGAATGGTCATTTCTGATGTTTTTTGGTAAATAATTTTAGGAAAATGTTTTCATAGTAGGCTATGAAATAAAGGAATATAAACTAATTTTGTCATCGACTCTGATGATGTTTTTGAAGAGAAACTTCCAGAAGTGCATGGCTGAAATTATAGTTAATAGAATCTAACAAATAAAAGGTCATACTTATAGGAAATTGGTTCATAACAGATGAAAACAAATGTGAAACAGCACAAAAAGTTAATTTGCCATATATTCATATTATTTGAAATGGGTATAAATTTATTTTTTTGCGAATATATCAAGAACGACCAATAATAATAATAATAATTTATCCATTTATAAATCAGTATACATTCATAATTTTTGCAATTTGAAATCAAAGGGATTTGTTCTCAGTAAACGATTATAAGATTTCTGCAAAAAATAGCAGTCCAAAAATTTGTTTAACCCCGCTGTTTGAACAATTTTTGTAGTGTTGTTAGTAAAGGTTGAGTGTAGATGTAGCATGCTTCTTTTTTTAAATTTCAATTCAAAAGAAAATGATGGTCAAGTTTATACAGCATATTTGATGATGTTTTGAACAAAATTATTGTATAGTCCCTAGTAGAAACAAACATTATATAAAATTATATGTGCTGGTCAGGCCCTATCCCCCAAAGCCCCGATACATTCGGGAGGGCGCACCAGTATTATTAACCAACGACCACTCCCCACACCGTGGAGTAAGTGATCATTGATAAAATAACGGTTTGGTGTTGGGAAAAAACTCCAGTAATATGGTTTCGTAAACCATAGATAGATCAACAATTACGGCCATAAATTCATTTTAACATTATATTCTGAATTATATTGAGGTAGAGCATTATATTAATCCCAATCAAGTGAAAGTCGCCAATGGGGTGCTGCAAGGGTCCATATTGTGGCCTGTACTCTTTATATTATATCTAAATGAAATTTGGTGTATCTCTGCAGACGCGATGTCCATTTATGCCGACAATACTTCATTTTTTATATCTGAAAAATTAGATAATGCTCTTGAATCCAAATGTAATGTATACTGAATTATGTTAGCAGATGGTTCAGTGAGAACTTTTCATTTCTAAATAGCACCAAAACAAGATTCATCAGATTTCACAATTATCATAAACATGCTCTCAACTCAACATCTGCATTCAGCGCAGCTGTATTAAGCAAGATGAGTGAGTTAAATTATTAGGAATTTATCTTGATGAAACCCTGAATTTCAGAATTTCTAATGAGTTGAATACACTGGTGTACATGCTCAAGAACCTACATACTGCCCTAGATGAGCAACAATTAGTTATGTTCATTATGCACAAATAGACACGTTTACTATATGTTATAATTTCCTTGGGCTGCTCCGCTTATGCTTATGGAATCTTGGTACAAAAAAGAATCTTGTATGTTAATCATTGTAAACAAAACTCAAAATATTTTTTAAGTTGTTTATTGAAAGGAAATGGCAGCTGATGGTAGATAAACTATTCGCATGAAAATGCATTGTGCCGTACAAGAATGTACGATCAATGTGATGGTTATTTTCCTATTTAAGATCCACAATGGAAATGGGAATATCCGGATGTACCAATGAACGTTTGTAAACAATGTTAGTACCATCGACGTAACCTTGATGGTTATGTCGATAGTTGTGATTAGTATCATTGTACCGTAGACAATGATTGTACAATGTCATTGTAAATGATATAGTCTATAAAAAAAATTAGTACTCGTCGATGTTGCCATCTATGAAGCAATATATGAACTGTTATATTGATTAAAAAAAATCTATTTCCATTTATTGATTATCTAACTCATTTTAAGATGTTTTGGTTATTATATAGGTCATAGTTCTATAATCGTAACTGAACCACGTACTTCCACCATCTGTTGAGTTTGTCTCAAAAAAGAAAAACCATGAGAATGGTTGTAAAAAAGTATTCAATCAGGACATCTGTAGCACAATAGTGAAAGTTTCCAGTAATGACAGTAGTTTCATCACTGCTGACAAAAGACAAAATCGATTTTCATTTATTTGATCTTTCAAGAATACACAATATTGAAATTTTCCTAAATTTGTATTCAATGTTTCTGTCAATGTAAATATTCATAAAGCATACCTAATTAATGAATTTTTCAAAACGAGTCAGTCTTTTCGTTTTGAATACCATGTCTAAGCGAAAAATAAGTGATTATGCAGGATTTAACAAAATCTTGAGCGAATCCAAAAATATAGTTGTCCTTACTGGAGCGGGAGTTTCAGCCGAATCAGGTATTCCAGTCTTCAGAGGAGCCGGAGGCTTCTGGAGAACCCACAGATCTCAAAATCTTGCCACTCCCCAGGCTTTTGCAGCAAATCCAGCATTAGTTTGGGAATTTTATCATTACAGAAGAAACGTCGCATTCAACGCTCAACCAAATAATGTAAGTTTTTGATGATTTTCAATGTACTACCTCTATGAAAATTCAGTCTTATGACCTACATCATTTCATTCCAAGATTGCTTCACATAACCTCAAAATTTGTTATAATGCATTTTTTATGACACCATTCATGTGTGTTATATTAGAAAAAAACCGCATAACGTGTGATACCTTCAATAAGAAAATGGCCTACTTGAACTCGAGAATATTATTAATATGGGATATGAATTAATTCTACTCTTTTTTATATTACTACCTACACTGGGCGTGAGCTTCTTCGAATAAATATATATGCTGATCATGGAAATAGATTGGTTTTTACTTCCATGATGCAGAATCTGACACAGTAAAAACTACTATGATTCTGATACTGACAGTGTCGTCACAGATTAAATTTAATCTGTGGTGTCGTATAGACCGAAAAATACATATTATTCAGTCAACAAAAGTCTAAAAAAAGAAAATAAATTACACAAATATTGAACTTATCACTTTTAAAATCTGAAAAAAATATAACGGAGAATGTTATGCAGGTGTAGAGATGGCAAACTTCGATTTCACCCTTATAAGTCATTGTCTTAACTCACTATAGTTTTGTTGAAGAAAAATGTATTGCTCATCAGTAATTTTGCCCATCAAAACAACAACTGAGAACTTTATAGGTTTCTTCGAAGACTTCAAAAGATTTCAACAGAAATCCAAAATGGTTATGTCTAATGAATGTTTATACGTACTGCCATCGTGTCTTTGTCTTTTCGTGTAAAAAGTAAGCTGAAGAAGCTATTGTATAGCGAAACACCTGTTGCGTTTTTGTAAAACTGATCAATAAAAATCTCACAATGAAGTGTTTCTTGAAAACGATATCATATATATAAAAAAGAATGTCATGAAAGAAATGGGTGCTTCCTCTTGTAATGTTATCCGAAACGGTGTTGATAAGATAAGACAAGTGTATCCTCCCGAAACTTCCAAGTACACCATTGAGGTTGATAGTGTTCCATAAGTGACTCTTTTCTACATTAAATGGTGTACCGTTCCTATCAATGACACTGTTTCAATTCCATAACGAATGTTTGTAGTACAAACTGAATGATAAGAAGTTAATTTTGTGTAATTCAATCTGTAAATGAAAGTAGTTGATTCGAAAGAACTTTCTCCTGTGATGTAATTTATCAATTTTCATGTGAAAGTAGTTGTGTCAAAAGGGGTTTTTCTTTAAGTTTCTATCAGTGTATTATATATATCCTTATGAAGAGTCTTTATTGTAGTTCTTTATTCCTTCCTTTGGAAGTTTACAACTGTTCAATCATAGAGAAGTAGAAAGCCAAAAAGCTCATTTCCCGAAACAATAGAAAAGTACTTTAAACTTTTATTTCCTGATAAAAGGTAAAATTGGAACCTCTGGTGTAGAAAAAATCCAAAAACAAGCACTTTTCCCAATTACCAGAACTCAATACTCTTCTCGACAGGCGTTTCACCAAGCGAGTTGGCGTCTTCAGGAGATGAAAAAAGCTTTTCTTCAATGATGACTTGTTTACTGAAACGTGTGTCCCAACTAACATTTTCAGTTAGAATTACGTTAGTATGTTTTTCGACTAGGTCGCGACTTTTCCAGAAAAATACATGTTTACGTTATATTTACCCTATATTTAGCTGTATGGGGACACATTGGGGACAATAACGTCATAACGTTTTTGTTGAAAATATTTTCAAACTGAATAACTGAGATATATGCATGTTTCCTATTATTAGTTTTCCCAATATCCATATTTGGTTTTAAAATAGTGAAAAATCTGGCAACGGCGCTTATGCTTCGCATAGCGAAATAACTAAGACTTTGTGTGACAGTGCCTGCCCTCTGATGGTCGAGAAATCAAGAATATTTCCGATTTTCTAATCATTGACGTCTGTCATATAAATTGAAACAGGTAGACGAAAGCAGTCAGTTCAATTTTTTGCTTTCTCTGCAAAAGATACTGCTAAGTCGTATAAGCATTATCGGTTTGTGAAGAGTTTTCAACATGTCTCTCTATCCATTTTTCGACGATTACTATCAATGTCCAACTCATCGTCCTAGCCGGCTCTTGGACCAACATTTCGGCCTGGGGCTGACGCCTGAAGACATTTTGGAGGCCCTCACCGTACCAAGAATGGTTGCCACGTACCCTGCCGGCTACATGAGACCCTGGAGAACGGATCTATCAAGACAGGACACCGGTTCCACCGTAAGTTTGGACAAAGACCGATTCCAGGCCAACTTGGACGTGCAACAGTTCAAACCCGAAGAGATAACTGTCAAATTGACGGATGAGAACACCATTACCATCGAAGGGAAGCACGAGGAGAAGCAGGATGACCACGGTTTCATTTCCAGGCATTTTGTAAGGAGGTACGTTCTGCCGAAAAATTGCGACCCTAGTCAGCTCCAGTCTAAACTTTCCTCTGATGGGGTTTTGACCATCACTGCTCCCACCAAGAATCAGCAGATCGAGCATAAAGAGATACCTATTCAGCAGACTGGGCAGCCAGCAAAAAGCATTCAAGAAAAGAAAACTGAAAAAAGCAGTGAACCCTAAATATGTTGTTGAAAAACCTGTATTGCTACTTTAATCTTCTTCTAGGCTTTATTCACTCTAGCAGTCTGATTAGTTTTAGGTTTTAGATACTAAATTCTTATTTGTGCCCAGTAAGTGTAGTTTTTTCAATAAATGTTTGCAACCTGTGCCTTTTTTATTGATTTGTATATAGGCAAAATGCTCCAAGTGTGGTTTAATCCCTAAATATATTTTTTGATTTTAGGTCTTATCTTTTGAACGGAAACTGATGTATTTGTAACTTGCAATTATTATAATTCTAAAATAGAAGGCACTAAATTCTCAGAAATGACTGACTTTTTTGCCTTAATCTGTGTCTTGCAGTGACGTACGGAAATTATACTAAAAAGATGAGGAAAAAATGAAGATGAAATATGCAGGGTGTTCCAAATTAAGTCGGCAGCATTGCCAACTCCAGCATTTAGAAAAATATCATTTTATGAGATATTTTGAAAACGTGTCTGTCATTTTGTTTGTTTTTGACATCGAGAAGGCCATTAAAAATGCTACTAGTTTGTCCATGTAACCAAATTCGTAGCATCAATAATAACAGAGTTGGCAATGGTGCCCACTTAATTTGGAACACCCTGTATAGAATCACAACTTCTACAACAATGTTTTTGTCCGTGGAAGCAACTTCATTTACCATTAAGCTGTTTAATATTTTTTTCACGTTTAAATGTTTCCATGTTTAAAAACTAATGTTTCTTTGAATAATCACACTTTCCGTTTTTAAAACAATAGACAATCCTTAGACAATGAAATTATCATTGTCTTATAAATCTATAGACAATGAAATTATGTTGTAGGTAGTTCCACCTGTTGGAGAATATTCAAATTCAAGTTTCTCACTTGTCATTTTCCACCTATTGATCAAAGTTGTCTTTGTTATTGATTTTTTACTACTTCGACCTAGATGTCGCTACAAAACTTGTATTACTTGCTGAACGAGAGAATGATGGTGATTTTTTTTCAAATTCTAGCAAAGATTTCTGGGTATATGTTTGAAAATAACCTGCCCCTGCTGAATTTATCTTAACTTTAGGCATGTTTTAGTGTATTATAAAATCTCATAAATATCTTGTAATTCAAAATATACTATTTTTTACTTTTAGTCTGACACCTTGAACCACCAAGTTAATCAATCAAACTATAGAGTGTACCAAACGACTTTTCATGAGAATTCTACGGATAAATCTATAAATACGCTTTCAAATATATTCAAATAAATGATTTTTAAAATTTTGTGCTTGAAGAAACGAGAAGTTGTAAGGATGACCTGCAGGGTCAACCGTTTTTCGGATTCCTTTTAATTATTTAATTTCTCTTTAACTCTTGGATACAAAATACACATTAACAAAAATTGCTATTGAAATGCTCGATCAAATCAAAAATTGATAGTAAATAGAAAATTGCAATCAGTAGGTACTCTCTGATATATCGATAACAATATTATTATGTTTTGTGCAAGTATTCTTAATAAGAATGCAAAATAATGTTCGAAACGTAAAAGTTGCTGACCTGCCAAAATTTGGATATTTTTTTATTCTTTATTGTGGACCCCTCTCTTGTGTAGGCCCCGGGGTAGTAGCCCCGCCTACCCTCCCCTAAATCCGGCCCTGGGTACAAGATATCAGGGTCGGACAGAATTAAGTTAAAATACATCATTTTTAGAACTTGCATTACTTGTCACCGAGATGACCTTTCTTGCATCTGTATTTACGACAACATCCACTGGGCTTAATCTTTAATCGAACCTCTAAACAAAAAATTGCATTTACTGTATAGCAGAATAGCTAAATTAATTTGTCATCAATTAATCCTTGAAATCATTTAGTTGTCATATTCTGATGATGATATGCTTACTTGATTAGCAAAATCCATGTCGAGAGACAGTATTTTTGTTCTGGTGTGAGAAAAGTGTTTTGAATATAACGATTAATTAATTCAACGGCGAGTTTCATATGTATGGACTGTAACACTTTTTCTCTTTCCATTATCGTGTAGGTTTCGTCAAATTATGGTACACATAAATGACTTTCACTTCTACAGGTAGAAAATCGCTTATCCGAACAACTAACCAAAAACCAGCCAACCCATTTAAAAACCCTGAAAGCTCGGATCATTTTTCTCACAACAAGTTATCTTGAAAATACAAATTGTTATCCATAAAATAACTTTGTAATTCATCTTTCCTCGAATTTTTATTCGGTACTTTGATGAGCTGTCGCGAATGATAGGAAGCGTTGTCAAGAACTATAACACTATTTGCATCCAAATTTGGGATCAATGTTTTTCAAACCATTCCTCGAAAATATTAGCTTCCATGTTCTTATGATAGTCAACATTGCAGTCCTCAAGTTTTTTCCACATAATTTAAAAGAATTCGGAAACCATCCTTTATTTCCTCCGCAATGCACAATGATTAGTCGCGATCCTTTGTTTGCAGGCGTACACATTCTCGAACCATCAGTCCACCCTTTTCGTAACTATGTCGTAAGTGTCATACCAAGTTTCGACCAAATAGAAAATTTGCCGTTGTTATTGTCTATATGTTCTAAGTATTTGTAACGCAATTCCACTATTCTTCTGCTTTCCATAACTGCTTGACATTTGTTTATTATTTCAAATCTAAATCCTAGTTTCTTTATCCAATTCTGAAGAGTTTTGTCACAGCAGCTCACGTTATGGCCGGAAGTATTCAATTTCTTCCTTATGATTTAAGTTGTAGGAATCTCATTTTTTTTAACAGTCGTATATTTTAAGTAATTATAACTGCACCAATATCAAATTTCAACACTCGAATCGCGATCAGTTCCTGAACTGAACATTGATGACACGACGGCGATAACCATCTCCGCATTCCCCGATTTCTATTCGTCACCGTAACATGACTTCAAATTTAATTATATGACTCTTCAGCTAATCATAAAACTCTGTTAGTAAAAATTATCCAATACGAACTATCAATTCTTCGCAGTTCGCAACTGGTTCATTTCTATGTATTGGTTTTTTTGGCCTTTGAGAATGCCGCCAACTTTAAGTGTGCACAATATCGTTTACTTCGACTATACAAATACTTGTTTTTGTGTGTGTTAGGTGTGTGTATTTGTAGAAACTTAATAACACTGTTATAAAATAGTACAGTCCTCATTTATTTTTTCACCAATCCGATACCAGTGGATCTTCTACAGTTTTATTGGGAATTTACTTTGGAATTTTTGAATTGTTAACCCAGTCTCAATTTAGGTTCTCAACTCAATATTATTAATTTTAATTGTCTATCAGGCCCATAAGGCTTTGGCGGAGTATGAGAAGATATGCATGGAACAAGGACGACAATTCACGATAATAACCCAAAACGTGGACGGATTACATGCTAGAGCGGGTTCAAAAAATATTATAGAGTTACATGGAGCATTGCACAAAGTTAAATGCACGAAATGTAGATGCATTGACGAAAATTATGACAATCCTATTTGTGAAGCTCTAAGAGGAAGAGGGTGAGTATTATTTTTCAACCTTATCCTACCCGACCTTAGAGAAGTTGAAAATTCCAAAACTTTCAAAATACAAGTGAAAAAATTTATATTACTAAACCTGGNAGGAAAATATCCACAACAAAGTGACATATTAAAAAGAATTGTTAGAGGAGTACATAAAGTATGAGCACAGTTTTTGCAGAAGATTGCAGGTATTTGATCAGGTACTGAGCCTTTATTAACATCTAATTCTACTAAGCCTTGTTCTACTTCCTTTATGCTTAAAATAATTTGTGATAAATTAGAATTATTGTCTGTTTCAGTAAATTGGTCCTGACAAAATGCCTTTTGTTTATCAACAAAGACGCTTTTGAAGAATTTTGAAAATACATTTGCTATCTCATGACCATTTTTTGCTTCATGATTATTTAACTGCATTTTGTGGGGAATCTTGCTGACCGAGTGCTTTTTAATTAATGAAAAGTTCCAAAAACGTTTGGGATTATTTACTACGTCAGCCTCAACATTTAAAATGTAATTGTCGAAATCTCTCTTTATTAATGTTCTTGATCTAGCACGGAGAAGCGTGAATGAATTTAAATCATTTAAGTTTTTATACATTTTCCTTTTTTTGTGAAACTTATTTTTTTCTTTTATTACTTTAATAGTTGAGGCAGAATAGTATGAAGGAAACTGTCTACATATATCTTTTTGGAGAAAACCTATGCCTGGGTTTTTGTGTCACTGAATTGAACCTGGTTACTTTTACCCCAAGTCGAAATCACTTCTAGATATGCAACCTCCTGCTGCCGGTGAAGATGTGCATCGGCAGCCGATGTCCTGGAATCCAAATGGAATGACGAGACAAGTGTGCTGTCATGAGCCGCATATATTGGATTCTCGTTTTTTTTTCAATTAGTCATTGATGTACAATAAAAAGTGGGTTGGAGACAATATGGATCCCTGGGGAACACCAGCGATGATGGTAAAAGTATTCGAGAGATCCATCGACGGCCATTTGCAGGAAACGTTCTTTCAGGAAGCTGAAGAGTCATACACAAAAAAGATCCGACAAGCCATATCATCGAAGTTTGGCCAGCAAACCCTCATGCTTCACATTGTAAAAGGCCTCAGAAATATCAAGCGAATACTGACGATTGCTCAAGATGTTAAAGCCTTCCACCATGAAATTGCCTGCCGTTTTTTTTTGTGATGTTCTTCTCACCTATTGTTATTGTTTACAATTCAGTTAACTAGTTTAGTGATGCAATAATTTTTCTGAAAAAGGGGTTAATGAAACAAAAACAAAAGATCTGATTCGGCGAACAATTTATGATTTATACCAAAAAAAACCTTGGAAATGATTTGGTATAAATTACTCGACTATCCCGATTACAATTACAACTCTTTAAAAACTCTACGAGGTGTCTTATTGTCTTGTGGTTTCAAATATAAAAAATTAATCAATCGGATGGTCATAATGGAATCGACACGCATTGTTCAACCTTCTTCAAGGAGAAAACGTGTTATAATTTTGCATGCCGAGAATGAAAGTGGTTTCGTACCTAACGCTTTGCTTCTGTCGGCCAAAAATATAACAGATTTGTCTGCTGATTACCAGGAAGATATGACTGCGGCTTTATCGAAACCTGATTCAGTGAGCAGCTTCTCCCAAATATTCCTCCAAACTTGGTTATTGTTATGGATAACGCTTCGTATTATTCTTGTTTATTGACTACAATACCAAACAATAACACAAAAAAAGCAGATATTGTTGATTTCATGCGAAATCATGACATGGAAATACCCGAAAAGATTCCAACGAAAAAGGTATTACTGGCAACCATAAAACAACGTGTTTTCAAAAAAAAGTATATTATTGATGCGATGTGTGAAACACGTGGTCATATTCTTTTACATTTGCCTCCATACTATTGTGTGTTCAATCCAATTGAAATGTTTTGGGCCACAATGAAAGAAAGCTTGCGGAAATGTAATCAGTCACCGACTTTGAATGCTGTGGTGCTTGACAATATAAGGCGAGTGGTGAATGAAGTAGGTAATAGTGATGTGTGAAAGAACTGTGTGGCCAACGTTATAAATATTATGTGCAAAGTTCCATAAATCCGATCGTTATTCAACCCGATGATGATTCCACCTCATCCGAATATAGCAAAGAAGAATTTTGATTTTTCTAGCAATTTTGTTGGCCTCTATTATTTTGTAAATATATCTTTGACGAGAATTCGGTGTGATTATTTGTGTTTTCATTGTATTTTAGAGTTTTCGACTCATGGTGGAAAAATTCAGTGGAGATAACTTTTTCATGGGCTGATCAATTGCTATGATTGTAAGAATAAGTAACTGAAAAACTACCAACTACCACTGAAAAATAATATGCCGACGCCTATGTCGAGGCGGGAATTCCTTCTCTGTGCTGTTCCAATTGATATTGGGAATACTGTATAATGAAGGCTTGGCAGAATAGTTTCCTGATTGCTATCTCCATTCTCAATAAAAATCAGCCTTTTTGCTGAGAAAATAAAACGTAGGATATTCGGAAATTATAGCAGAAAATACGTTTACTAGACATGTTGAAAGCTTTAGATTTCTTCTTCATCATTCCTCTCTCCGATGATTTTGGCTCTTGTTTCTCCGTTCCTAATTATTATTCCCAAACAAAATATGGAATGTGGCTTTACCTTTGAAAACAATAAATAAGAGAAATATAGTAATATAGGTTTCAGTATAAAAGGTTCATCATGCATTTTACTCATTTGCAAGGAATTCAAAGTAAGTTATACCCTCTGGTGTCGATGTTGTGAACTAAAGACAAGTACTTCGTTCATCTTGATAATCATCAATAAGTATTTATTTTGGTCGCTGTTATTTAATCTTCGAATGAACTGGTGAAGCTTTGAATGAATATGAGCCAATCAGAATCAAGTAGAAACCATGTGAATTGTGGGCAAAAAGGATCTCGATGCAGTGACATCGATCATTTCTCACGAAGAACTCGACTTGCAATTGTAGTAGAAACTAGTGTGGGATTAAAAGAGTATGTAGATGTCTTCACTATTTTAGCCATTTTGTATGATTGAAAAACTTTCAACAGACAGGTTTCAGTTTACAAAAATCTTCACTCACCTAAAACTGAATCATTTAATTCGCAACGAAAAAACGTAATTTTGATATGAAAGGACCAAATGGGCCAAATTTAGAAATCATGAGCTGGTATTAAAAACAAATCAACGTGAAACATCGTAAATTCAAACTGGTTTCAAAATCGAAATATTCATCTCTCCCAAGTACCTACACCGAAGGTTCTGGTAACAATCTTTCTCTTAGACGAAGGTTTCATACATGCAGTTGAGCTGCGTCAAAATTAATCGAGCCCACGCACTTTGCTGTCTGGGTAGTATCTTTCCTGTACTGACGAGAGGTAATACCTCGAAACCGGTCTGTAGGTGATCTATTCGAATAATTTCAGCATGGTTCTGAAGGAGAAACATCTGCGAGACTAACCTCTGTGAGGTATTTTGCATTAATGTCTGTCAGATATAATTCAATATCCAACGTGTTAATAGCCGGAGAAGTAGTTGTTTTCCGGTAGATTTTCACCAGCACCCACGTACGTACGTGTAGATAGTTGGGGAGAGGAATATATCGAGATTTTATTGAGTATTTTCTAGTACGTATGTATCTCTTCTTGATACAGTCTTCAAACACGGTTTGATCGCATCGTCTGTATTTTTTTTTCAGAAGACCTTGTAGAAAGTTGTGATATGTGTCTGGTAATTGGTACGTCATCTGTCGTCTATCCCGCCGCTATGTTTGCCCCCAGAGTTGCCGAAAGAGGCAGACCCGTCGCCGAATTCAATCTCAACGATGAACCAGCCGATGACCTATTTGCATTTCATTTCCCAGGAAAATGTGGAGAAACCCTTCCCAAAGCCTTGGGTATCACCTTGTAGTAACGTTGACAACGGAAAAATAAATGGGTGATTGTCTATCGGATTACACCTCGACATTAATGAGGTTAATAAATTAAAATATATAATGGCCATTTGAGTGGCAACGGTTATAAAATTTATTGGTAGTGAACATAACTTTATAGGTTATTCTTGTGAAGTTATTTTTAGAGTATATGTTGGGCAACGAATAAATTAGGTGAAAAATGTATATCGTGTTTTCTATTCACGATCCATTTCCAAAGAAAATCCACCAACTTCATCCTATGAATCCAAAACAAGCACTTTTCCCAATCACCAGGAATGTAATACTTTTTACGACGCGCGTTTCACCAACCATGTTGGCGTCTTCAGGAGTTGACACAAAAATTAGGTTGACGTCACTTTGTTTGGTGAAACACGCGTAGAAAAGAGTATTGCATTTTTGGTTATCGAGAAAAGTGCTTGTTTTGGATGTAATCTACGCCAGAAGTTCCAGTTTTATCTTTTATTACCCTATAATGAAAGGAAATTAGCACCGTTTTTGGTTTTATATTGTTTTTAAGGTTTGTATTGAACTATCGTTGATTTTCAAGCTGAATACATTAAAATTGTTATTTAGACAATTTGTTAGGAATGAAAAATACGTATTTCATCAAATTTACGAAGTAATTTTTTATTATAAGGAATGAAGGATAGGGTAAGTGTTAGGAATCACACGTTAAAAGGTAAGACCTCGTTACTCATTAGCTCGCACAAGTTTCTCAACTTCTGAGAGTTGTCGTTCGTATAGGGGCGACAGCTGCTTAACAGAAAAACAGATTTTAAACAGATTTTTTAAACTTAAAACCTAATGAGTTGATCGTTGAACAGGTCTACAAGTAAATCACAAAAAGTAATGATATCTCATCAAAAATATTGTTATGTCAAATGTTGTCAAGAAGTGTATATTGCTTGCACTCTGAAGTCAGCAGATCTCATAGTCACACTCTCCTTAAGTTGGATCGTGTAGACACACCCTATACTATAAGGCAGGATTTATGGCGTTAACGAGTTGAGGCGTTTCTACAAGCCCAAATGTAGGGTTTGTAAATTTATTGCTTATCTACACGCCCTAAATCTACATGCTCTAACGTAAAGTTTGTAGAGTTAGGGTTATCTACACGCTCTAACGTAGAGTTTGTGAAGTTAGGGCGTATATATACACTCTAACGCAGGGTTTGTAGAGTTGAGACGTTTCTATAAGCCCTGGCCAAACTTCGATGCTATGGCTTTTGTCGGATCATTTTTTGTGTATGGCTCTCAAGCTTCCTGAAATAAAGTTCCCTGCAAGTGACCGTTGATGGATATCTCTCGAATATTTATGATGCACTGTTTGGGACCTTTGGTGTAGTATTGCATATTACTGGAGTTTTTTCACAACACCAAACTGTTATTTCAAAACCTCGACACGTGTTTCGATCACCAAGTGATCATCTTCAAGATGAAGATCTTCCTTTGGTGATGGGAAAAACTTCAGTAATATTCATCTCTCGAATAATTTTTCATCAACGCTGGTATTCCCCAGGGATCCATATTGTCTCCTAACCTCTTTTTATTGTATATCAACCACTTATTGGAAAAAACAAGAATCCAATATATTGCTTTGCTGATGATAGTACACTTGGCTCATTATTCCATTTGGATTCCAGGACATCGGCTGCGGATGCACATCTTCACCGGAGGCAGGAGGTTTCATATCTTAATGAGGATCTAGAGGTGATTTCGAATTGGGGTGAAAGTAACCAGGTTCAATTCAATGCCACAAAAACCCAGGCATCGGTTTTCTTCAAAAAGATAAATGTTTCCGAACCGGATATAATAATGTCACGAGAGACAATTCCGCTTTCTGCTTCGATGAGTTTGTTGTGGGTTAAAATGGACACCAATGTGTCTTGGCACAATCATGTCGCTGAAATTGCAAAGGCTGCTTCTCAAAAGTTTGGAACACTATTCCAAACCAGAAAACTGTACACACTTCAGCAACTTTTGATGCTTTATAAAGCTCAGATTATAACTTCTTTGGAGTATTGTTCTCATGTATGGAGCATCGCCTCTAAGCATATCCTGGATGGAATTCAGCATTCCATCCAGGAAAGAGCCATCCGCCTGTTTGGAGATGCTAATATCACTTGCAACCTTGATAGTCTGGAACATCGAAGAAAGGTTGGGGATTTGTCTATCTTCTATAGATACGCGAGGTGTTACTTGGCACTTTTTATTCCACCAAAAGCGATACATGTCAGAAATACGCGATGGACTGTGGCTGCTCATTGTTTTGAGGTTCACCTCGAACTTCACTGTTTAAAAACTCTTTCATTTGGAGAACTACGTTTATGTGGAATAAACTTCCTGATAACATTTTTCCAAATGGATTTAATCTCCAGCGATTCAAATCCAAGGTGAATCGCTACTTTCGCACAGGCAGCGCTCTTAGAGCGCCTTGAGGATTTTCCTTTAGTGCTTGTGTTTTGCCCTTAACAAAAAAAACAACCTAGGATTTGTAGAGTTAATGCTTACGTACACGCCTTAATTCAGGGTCTGGGGAGATACGGCTTACCTACAGTACACACTCCAAAGTAGGATTTTTGGAGTCAGGGCATATCTCCACTCTTCAACGTAGGGTTTGTAGAGTTAAGACCCTAACGAAGGAGTTTGGCTAACTATGAGATCTAGTAAGTTTTTTATAGTGCTAGCAACTAATACTCGTCTTAGCGATACTTTGAATGAAAATGTTTTTGGTGGGAATACAGAGTTGTATCAGAATACTAAAACATGTACCTACTGGAAACTAGTAAAATGGGAGAATAGGAAATGTTTTGTAACGTGAAAAAACTGAGATTGTTATGCAATAATGTGTAAATCCCAAAAATATTCAAATTTCAGAAAATAATGACAATTGACTATAAAATGAAGGTCAGTTCGATCAGCAAAGTGGTGTATGGGTATATCACCAGATCCTTCACATTTATTTATAGATAATATTGGTGATTGGTGATCTTGACAACTCGAATGAAGTAGAAAAAGGTTCAAACTACCATATAAGAAGATTTATAAAAAAATAACAAATAGATACAAAAAAGGGAAATTTTTTGTATTGAAAAACTGAGATGAATTTCTTGAAATATATTCCAATACATGGCTTCCAAAATGACGTTTGCGATTTTTCTCAAGACTTAAATCTGAAGCGTTAAAAGAGCTGAAAGCTAATCTTGTGTCATCGAATTTTCCGAATGCTTTGATGAATTTTAGAATTGAGCATCTCCTTTCTAAAGCGGCGTTGGAAGCTCTTGGCTCCTACCGAGCAACGTCTAAGTTGGTAGCAAATTGCCAAAAACGACTCTTCTCAATAGGAAGACTTAACAGATTGTCTCTGGTCTCGATTCCTGGCCATACTGGCCTGAAAGGGAATGAGGCTGCTGACACTCTTGCAAAGGAAGGTGCTGCAAGCAGCTTCATCGGACCAAAACCTGTCATTGGCATTGCTTTAGGTTTTGCCAAACTAAAATTGAACATCTGGATGGCAAGAAGATTCAAACACTTCTGGAAAAATCTTCCAGGATTGGCTCACTCCAAGGCGTTTATTCACTCTTCGAAACTTGATACCAAACAGTTGTTGAACTACAGTAGGGATGAACTACAGTAGGGATGAACTACGATGTCTAACAGGCTTTCTTCCAGGTTAGTGTCATTTGAATCATCATATGCAGAGACTAGGATAGTTGAAAGACAGTGTGTGTCGCCTCTGTTCGGAAAATGATGAAACAGCAGAGTCATTTGAATCATCATATGCAGAGACTAGGATAGTTGGAAGACAGTTGTGTCGCCTCTGTTCGGAAAATGATGAAACAGCAGAGCACATACTTTGTGCTTGCCCCGCTGGGGACCGAATCAGGTTTCTAGAGTTCGACAGAGCCGTATTCTTACCATATGACCCGAAATACCACTCACCATACAAACTAATCGGCTTTGTTATTAGGTCGAATGGAAGAGGTGTGAGCCACAATGAACCCTTGCGGGTTGCGGCGAAGGGTCGAATAGACCCACTCACTTTGGACCTAACCTACATGAATAATCAGGTTTTTTTGTTAAAAGTAATTTACGTTTGTTTGTAAGGATATGTAGAGTGCGTAATTTTTCGAGCCTTAACCATCCCGAGTCGTCAAACCTACTACTGATGTGCTCAAATTTACGTATACCGAAGGAAAATCTTAAACAAGAGTTTTGAATTCTTTGAAGGCGAAGTGAGTCGTGTTGAGTAAGTGCAGGCTCATATATGCAATCGCAATATGATCATTTAGAAAAGGTTTGCAAAGCTTAAGTTTGAGTTGTGTAGTAAGAATATCTCGATTGGGAAACATTTGTCTGAGAATGTTATAAGATGATTTACAAAGATGACTGTTCAAATGACATACATGATGATTTTTTTGCATTCAATTTTAACTTATGTGCGCATGAGCTGTTGTACAGCGAATTGAGATCTTTATTTATGAGTTCTTGTGCTTCCGAGTTGCCGCCTGGAAAAGATAGGTGAATTTGAGTATCATCAGCGTAGTGATGAATAGTGCAAAATTTTATACTTCTATAGAAAACTGAGACGTAAGTGTTAAATGAAAGAGGTCCAAGAATGAAACCTTATGGAACCCCAAATTTGGTATTCAGATCTGCTGATATTTGGAATGATCAAGGCTGATACACGGAGTTCAGTCTTCCAAAAAACTTCAATGAGATCTACGGCACATTTATCCAAACCAAACCAAAGTGATTTAGATGGAAGGAAAGAACACAATAAAGCCATGAGGCTGCAGTGTTTTCCGAAAACTTTGAATAAATGAACAACTGATATAAACAAAAATTTATGAACCCGGGCAAATGAATTTCATCTTCATATCTTGACTGAAATACATAAATATATCTTTGTTTCAAGAAAGGCAATAAAAAGCATTATTTGCTATGGTTTACGTATTTCACCCACTGAAACTTTCGAAATTCTATTGACAAATCGGAGTATTATAAATGGTGAGAGCGCATGTATAGAATATTTGCCGGAGGTGCTTGGTACACACATTTGGAATTCACAATCGAGGAAATAAATTCGGCATGGGCCAGCAATAATATCAAAAATATGCGTTTGTGCCTCGAGCGTTCCATGCCTTGAATTAATAACAAACATCTCTCGAATAGTGGAAGTCG